TATATCCAATCAAGCTTCTGTAACCTAACTAACCCACTTCTAGCCACCCACCTACCTGACTCTTACTCGACTTCCAGAGCTTAGTTCCACGTCCCTTCTGCCAGGAGACCTCCCCCATGATCTTCCCGCTGCCCAGGGCTGGCTAGTAACTGCTCTTAGGGACTGCCTTGTGCCCAGAATTTGTATATCTGCCTGTCCCCTAGGAACACTTTGAGGGCAGAAAATGTGTGATTCATCCCGCACATACCAGACACATGGCATAGGTGCTCAGTATCTGTTGAATAAATAACAAATCGGATAGTTTTTTTTTTAAAGATTTATTTATTTATTTATTTATTTATTTTGGAGAGGTTTTTTGTTATAGGGCGCGTGCGCTCGCCAGACAGAGAGAGAGAGACAGAGAGACAGAAAGCGAGAAATCACCCCCCAGGGGGGATGGCTACGCAGCAATCCCTTCTCCTCCATTCTCCTCTTGGGATCTTGGGCACGCATGCACACGTGCCCGGCATGAGTTTAAGCCGCCGGGTCCAAGACTTGAACTGCGGTCGACTACATGGGAGTCCAGCGACATAGCTATTACGCTAACTGCTGGTCCCAATTTATTTATTTATTTTTCAATTCACTAGAGAGAGACACAGAGTGAGAAAACTGCCAGGTCCAGGACTCAAACCATGGTCAGCCACGTGAGAGTCCAGAGCTCTAACCATCATGCCACCTGCTGGCCCCTAGTTGGATTGTTATTAATTGAGAGTTTGGGTCTGTGAAGCTGGAGCTCAGGAAAGAGAGCTAGACCAGGGAGACAGTTTTGAGAGACCTCAGAAAGAACCCATAATTGTAAAGAAAGCCATCGGAAAAAGATGAGATCACTCAGAGCCAATAAAGCAGGAGGGCAAGGACAGAACACTCACTTCTAAGAGGGAATGCATTCATTACAAGCAGGACCAGAAAGTTGATGTAGGTAACAGAAATCCCACATTCAAGCCTCAGGGAAGACAGTTCCAGACTGGTAGGGGCAGCTGTGCTCTGCAAGACCTCCCAGATGTGGCTCCTTCTACCCACAGCTCCAGCAACCTATAGGTGTGGCTCTTGTCCTCATGGTTTAGGATACCGGCTAGACTCCAGCCATCTTTTAAGGAAAATATCAGAGAGTGTTGTGACACTTCTATACACATCCCATTAGACACATGACCAGATGCAGCTGCAAGAGGAGGCTAGGGGATGCCACTCGCATTCTAGGCAGCCATGTGCCTGCCAGGAACCAAGGTCATATCGCCACAGGGAGAATAGATATCTGGGGACAAATAGCTGACCCCAGCATTGCAAGGGTAGACAGGGTGAGGAGCAGAGCACTACTGTGTGCCAGGCTCTGAGCTAGGCACGTTGCATTTTTTTATCTTCCCCCCACCCTGGCAGAGGCTGTTATTATCCCTGACTCATGAGGCGGCTTGGAGAGTTAAGCAACTTGCCCAAGGACACACAGTGAGCTGTGGCAGTGGAAACCTGTCTTTTCCCGTGCATCAGGCTGGCTGAATATCAGGAAGAGGGCAGGTCCTGATTCAACAAAGAGGGCTTGGACACCAGTGTCTGATGCTGACAGGCCAAGGGTACAGGCTGAAGCGTCGACTTCAATTTGGCAAGAGGACAGTGCTGGTGACCTTGGCAAGGGCATCGAGAAGGGGCGGGAGTGGAGGCCAATCCAATTGCCGAGGAAAGTGTGGACTGGTCGTTCTGGAAGTGTGGCAAAGGAAGGGAATGTGGGCCAGGAGGAGGCAGAATAGGGAAGCAGGTACAGGAGTGGGAGAGAGGGGCGGCCTCTGCTGGGAGGTTTCCAGGGATAGAAGAGTGGGGTGCAGAGGGGGAGCTTTTCTGCTTTTCTGCTCCTTTAGGAGGAGAGCGGGCAGGAAGTGCAAAGACAGGTGGGTCTGGATGAGAAAGGGAGGGCAGAAGAGGGAATTCCTGTAAAATCTGGGCCATGGTGCTTGGGCAGAAGGCCAAGGGCTTGAGGGAAAAGGGAGGAGTCTCCCATGCTATCCTATCTGGTAGCCACTAGTTACATGTATATTTTGTGCCTTTGTTTTGTTTTGTTTTCAGTTTTGCTATAGGGTGGGTACACTTGCCAGAGAGAAACAGAGAGAAAGTGAAAAATCAGCCCACAAGAGTGATAGCCAGGCTGCAGTCCCTTCTCTATTTTCCTCCTGGGATTTCGGCCATACATACACATGGCCATCGTACTTTTCAAACTGTTGGGTCCGGGACTCAAACCGTGCAATTTGCTATGTGGAATCCAGAATCTTAACCTCCATGCCACCTTCCGGCCAATGCTTTGGGCTTTCTGTTTGTTTGGTTACTTGTTTTTAATTGCCAGAGGACGTGCGTGCTTGTCTAAGAAAAACAAAGATGGATAGAGAGAGAATGCATGCCCCCTCCCTCCCCAACAAGGCATGGTCATACCACAATCCTCTCTCTTCCATTTCTCCATCGTGTTGGGATTTGAGGTGCACACATGCACCCAGTATGTTTTTCAAGTGCTGGGGCTGAGACTTGAACCACAGTTGGCCGTGTGGGATCCAGCTCCCTTAACCACTAGGCCATGAGCTGGTCCCACATGTGACTATTTAAATTGGTTAAAAGTAAATAAAAAGTTTAGTTCCTGGGCCAGTCAGTGGCCTGGTGGTTAAGGTGACTGGATCCCACATGGCTGACTGCACAGTTTGAGTCCTGGGTCCACTGGCTATGAAAAACATGCTGGGCACATGTTTTTCTTCCTAGAGAATAATGGAGAAGGGATTGCAATGCGGCCAAACTCCCTCACAAGTGCTTTCTTGCTTTCTCTCTGACGAGTGCATGTGCACTATAGCAAACTAAAAAAAAAAAAAAAAGTAGAGGTTATTGAGAAAAAAATGAATCCACACAAAGTTCATGCTCTTAGCGCTTTTGAAAGACAGGAGGCACTAGAAATTTCAGATCACGTCAGTGCATAAAGCTGAACACCCCTTTCCAGCAAAAGTTCTGTTGAAAGACGTGTGGAGAGCTGGGGGTTTGGGGAGTGGTCTACAAATTTTGCTCACACTGATTCTAATCTAACCAGAGAATTAGACATACTCTTGTGCCTTCGGTATTCATTCTATCTTCCTGTGGCTAGAAACCAAGTTGCCACCATTTTTCTTATTCTGGGCAAAGTTGATCAGTTTTTCCTATGTTAAAATGCCACCTTTATATATATTTGTGAGCTGTCTTTTTATTTTTTTAACCTATTTTTTTCTTGGATATTTAGTTTTCTCTTTTAATTTTTGAGAGATCTTTATATCTTGGAATATTAGGCCTTTATCTGTGTAAAGTGTTATAAATATTTTCTCTCAGGTTATCATTTGTCTTTTGAGTTTGCTTTGTCATGCTATTTTTTTATGTAATCATATTTATCAGTCATTTCTTTTGTTGCTTTTGGATTTTGAATACAGAGATGTTTGCTGACTTCATCTAGGTTTTCTTCTGGTACTCAAATGGCTCTATTTTGTCTTTATATTTTGGTAAATCTAGTTTTAAATGTGAATCTAGATGTAGATGTATGAGAATAAACTTGAAATTTAAGTTTATTCTCATATATAGTATAGGTTAAGCTCTAATTTATTTTTCCTCTCCAAATGCAATTTAGTTTTACCAGGCCATCTTTGCCCTAGTTTTGATATGTCTATTTATGGACTTTCTATTCTATTGGAATATTCTACTGGACTTTCAATTTCGATTTTATTTTATAGATCTGTCAACTCATGCCCTGGTTCTACACTGCTTCAATTACAGAGGCTTTTATTTTTATATTTTTGTAGGGGTTTTTGCCCTAGAGTATGTATGCTGACCAGAGAGAGAGACAGAGATAATGGGACGGAAAGTGAGAAGTCACCCCCTGGGTGATCAAGTCAGGGCCTCAAACCAAGGCTGGTCAAGCCCAGCGATGTAACTGCTAAGCCATTTGCAGGTCCTCAGAGGCTTTATAATATGTTTAATATCTAATAGGGCTAGTCCTTCCTAGTGAGAGGGCATTTTATTTTGTAGCTAATATGTGTGTAATAATTGCTGTGTTTCTTCTATGTGTTTTCTTTGCTATATTATTTAAAATTTAATTTTAATATTTAAAAAAGTTTATATTAGTTCTAGTATTTCCTTTTATGCACATTTTCAATACCCTGTTTTAAAATTACTTTTACAGGACCAGCAGATGGCATAATGGTTATGTTACTGGAGTCTACGTAGTTAACTGCAGTAAAAGGTTTAGTTTCTTGGTTGCACTGGTCACATTCGAAAGTGTGTGACGGCCACCTATGGCTAGGGGTAGCATGTTGGGCAGCACAGAGAGAGCACATTCCAGCATTGCAGGAGGTTCACTAGACAGCCCTGGTCTAGACAGCTTGGTCACGTTGGGTGCCCAGAGCCCCTTCCTGGCCTACCTAGCGGTCATGTCCACAGCAGGGCCCCTGGAGAATTTGCACTGGTCACATTCGAAAGTGTGTGACGGCCACCTATGGCTAGGGGTAGCATGTTGGGCAGCACAGAGAGAGCACATTCCAGCATTGCAGGAGGTTCACTAGACAGCCCTGGTCTAGACAGCTTGGTCACGTTGGGTGCCCAGAGCCCCTTCCTGGCCTACCTAGCGGTCATGTCCACAGCAGGGCCCCTGGAGAATCCATTCACACTGTCTCCAGCTGAGACCCTCCTCCCATTTTTGGCAGTCCTTCAGAACCCCTTCCTGAGACAGTTGCCCCTGTTTCATGAGGCCACTCCTGGGGTTCTCTACTTGTCCCGGGACCAGGCCTCTGACTGCCATGGAGGGGGAATTGTGGAAGATGGGAAGAGGGCTGTGTCAGGACAGTGGCCCATGGACAGAGGTCAGCCAGCTCGTGACCACCTACTGACAGACCCAGAGACTACTCAGCTCAGCCCCGTGTCCCCCAGGTGGGCACACTGAGCTTAGAGAGGCCTGGCAAGGAAGCACAGAGGCAGAGAGACCCGTCCTCATTCATTTTATTGCACTCCACCCTCACTTTCCCCAGACCCTGTGTTCAGACAGAGCCAGACAAGCCTTGGGAGCTGGGACTGAGCCACAAGGCATGGAGCCTGAGTCAGCTCGGGCCCCCACCCCGACCCGAGGTAGCTGAGTCATGACTAGAAGGGCCAAACTGGCCTGACACGCTTTGGGAGAAGCATTCCCCGTGGAGGTGACATGGCATGGACCAAGTGTCTGAGCTTGGGAGTGGAGGTGTGTTCAGGTGGTTGTGTTTACCAGGCCAGAGTGGTTCAAATTCGGAATGGCTGGAGGTGCATGTGGTGCGTGTGCATGTGGGCGTGTGTGCATAAGACACCAGGCGGCGGGTGAGCACACTGTATACATGCTGAGGGTGTTGGAGACCCTGCTCTGTGCACACACCTGCCAGGTGGCACAGGCCCAGGGCTGCGTCTGACACCTGATCAAGAGCCTAGAAGCAGAAAGTTCTAGAACAGCAGTTCTTAAATTTAGGTCTTCCAAATGGCCTATCCACGCAGATCACATGGCTAGCCCTGAAGCCTCCCATTCATAAAAAGCTCTGCACTGCCCTGTGGATAATCTCCCAGGGAAACCGGAAGCCAGTAAGAAACAGGGCTTACAGAGCTGTCCAACAGAACTTCCCGCAGTGATGAAAACACCCTGTACTACCCAGCACCACAGCGACTAGACAGCCACGTCTCTACTGAGCAGCTGAAACGTGGCTAGATTGGCTGAGGAGCTCAATGTTTGTCTTAGTCGATTTTAGTTCATTTAAATTTTAGTAGGCACCTGTGACTCATGGCTCCCATGTTGGAAAGCCCAGACCTGGAAAGGCAGTGGGACAGGAAAGGCAATGGGACAGCTAGGGAGGACCGAGAGAGAGGTACAGGTGTGTGAGAGGGGCTTTGCATGCCCACCGCCCTTCTAGACCAGGGGTGGCTGACACACAGGTGGGGCTCCCTTCGGGGACTGTGGAGCTGGAGCCAGAGCCCAGAACTACCCAGGTCTCTCTCAGTGTCCACCCTGAACTCTGGCAAACTGGCATCTGCCTGACTGAGAGGGTAGGAGACTTCGTGGGGAGACCCCTCTGCCCTGGCCAGGACCCACCAAGCCCCTGTCTAAAGCCTCATGCTGCATCCAGTCAGGAGTCAGGGGTCGAGGGTCAAGATGTCTTCATGTTCTCCTGCAGGCCCAAGGTGGAGCTGGTGGCTGCAAGGTCACGTTCACCCTGTACATGCACGGGGAGGGGACCATGTCAGCCCTGTGGAAGCAGCTGCCTGTACCCCCTCAACACAGATACATAGGTCTGAGGACTCCCAAGGGCTGGGCTCAGGGTTCTCACCTCCTCTGGCCCCATGTCCTCTGCGTACTTGAACTTCTTCTGCTTGTAGTAGTGTCTCTTGGGCAGGATGTGGAGCAGCAACAGGTCACAGAGAACCGTCGCCTGAGGCAGGAGCAGGTGGACAGAGCCTGAGAATCTGGGGGTCAGAGCCTGGGAATCTCGGCTTCCACTGACTGTGTGGTCCTGGCTGAAGCCTACCCTAGCTAAACCTCTGTTTCCTGGAGCCAAAAATGAGGCACTGCAGGGCCCTGGGGGGACAAAGAAGGTCCCATACCTACTCTGTCCTCTCCTAGCTGTGAGCCTCAGTTTTTTCAAATATACTGTGGGCAGCTAGTGGACAGCTATGGTCCAGTTTGGGGGTCAAGTACCTGTTGCTCCTACTAGGACGTGGAAGAGGAGAGCCCAACCCCAGCACAGCGACCCAGTGACCCCAGCACTTACCACCCCGAAGATGCCAATCCCAGAGCCAATCGTGGTCATCGTGGGGATGATGTCAAACTTCCCAGCCTGGTGTCCGGGTCCAGGGAAGAAAGGGTTAAGATTCAGGAGGGGCCCAGATGGAAAAGTCCAGGTCTGCGATGGGGCCCCTGACCCCTTAACTGAACTATCCCCAGTGCCTGCTGACTCTACATGGGGACCAGCTGCCAGGCCTGGGTTTTAACCTTGGCTCTGCCTCCCTGGACCCAGGCAGACTGTGGGAGAGGCATGGTCAATGACTGAAAAGCACTGCCCTCAGTGTCACCCATGCCCCATTGGCTGACTCTATGGCACAGCAATAATAAATTTCTCAAGAGAAACCAGATCATACATGGCAGCCATGTTTTGAACCCCCAGCCTGGTATGCCTGAAACATGAGTGCCTAAGATCCAGTGGGCTGGAGGAAAGGGATCTCTGTGTGCCCAGACCCTGTCGAGAGTACTCCTTCACACACACACACACACACACACACACACACACACACACACAGAGTCATGTGCACATACATGCTTTCTATCATAAATTTTAAAAAATTAAACAGAAAAAGGAGGTAGAACTATTGAATGGACTCTACCGAACTTCCGGTCTCCCCGTAACGACAGATACCCAAGGGCACTCACAGGAACCAAGGATGTCTCAGCTGGTCACTCACCTTGCCATCCACCAGGATGTCAAAGCGAATCCCAAACACCTTGAAGAGGTGACGGTGGTTGGTCCCATTCTCCACAAAGTGCCTGGCAAACCTTGGGGAAGGGGTTGGTGGCAGGAGGTGAGGCAAGAGCATGCGGAGCAACCGGGATGGGGGGTCCCTTAGAGGTCTGTGATTCAGCCCCATCCCATTCCCAGACGGGATCCCAGGCTTCATTCCAGGAACGTTGCTCTCAACTCCTGCCTCAACTCCTGATGGACTGAGACCCAGGGGTGAGAAGACGTGGGCCTCCAAGGGCTTACTCTCTGCTGGCCATCCAGAAGAACAGAGGCCTCCCAGGGTCCTCTGGACCTCTCTGAGGACACTTGCTCAGCCCCAAAGGGTTCTGGGAGTAGAGAAGCCCACAGAACCCCAAGGAACTATGTGCTGGGGGGGACAGGGTCCTGGCAGTCACCTGAAGTTGAAGCCTTTAGACAGACTTTTCTCTTCATACAGCCCGTGGAACTCATAGATGGGCTTGCAGTGTCTCACGTGCCAGTCTAAGTCGCAGTTCCAGTCGATGGTGATGCCGACCACCCCGCCCTGCCAGGGATAGGGGAGATTTCACGTCAAGAAACCGTCTCGCAGCTGGTGCCAGTACTCCCTCAGTGGGGGAGAAAAGAGAGACACTGCTTTAGGGTAAAGGTCCTGTCACCCTCTCTGGCCTCACCTGCCATCCATCACACGCCACACTCTGGTTTTCTAGAATTTTCCAAGTTCCTCCTACCTCAGAGCCTTTGCACATGCTGTTCCCTAGTTTTTCACAAGGTTGGCTCTTTCTCATCCTCTGGTTACTTCCCCTGCAAGGCCTTCCCTGACTCTCATTCCCCAATCTGAAATATGTCCCTGTCATTCCCCTTATATGCTGTGTGTTTTCATTTGGAACATTCGTCGCTTTGTAATCATATGTTTATTTTGTGTAATTATTTATTAACCTATCTCCTTCAAGAATTAACTGTAAGCTCCAGGAGGATGGGGCTGTCTCTCTCTCTCTCTCTCTCTCTCTAAGTTTTCGCCATAGGGCACATGCGCTCATTGGAGACAGAGAGAGACAGAAGTGGGAAAATGAAAAATCACCCTCCAGGGGGGATGGCCACATGGCAATCCCCTTTCCTCCATTCTCCTCTCGGGATTTTGGGCATGTATGCAGCATGATTTTTCAAACCACTGGGTCCAGTTCTCAAATCATGGTCAGCCAAGTGGGAGTTCAGTGCCTTAACTGTTACGTTACCTATTGGCCCCAAGCATGTTAACTTTTAAGTTGCATTATTTATTTTGAAGGGATTGTTTTATTTAACTTTATTTATGTATTTATTTTTTAATTTGACCAGAGAGGGACAGAGTGGGTGGGGAACAGTGAGAACACAAGCTCTCAGGTCCAGGACTCAAACTGTGGTTGGCCATGTGGGAGTCCAGTGCCCTTAACCACCATGCCACCTGCTGGCCCCAGAATCCCATC